GGCAGTAAGGGACTACTCACCCACAGGAGTAATTAATGATGAGTCTTCGTGCTCTTTGATTACTGTTCAATTGGCTTCACTGTAAATCACTACTAAATTTGCCGATTTCCCTTTAATAATGCACACACATATTATTTATTAGACTGCAGAAGTTATGGCCACGTGTCGTCTTTACGGTATATACTAAAACACTGAGCGGCAATTACAGTTTAAGTGAGTGCGAAGTGGGATTACAATGAGCCTCGTTAGTTGTGGTTGTTTAGGGAGAATTGCTGTGTGTTTTCTGTTTTCTGATATTGTTGTACTTGTTAGTTGTCCACCACCCTTGTGACTCCATGTGTGTTTGTATAGGCGGTGAGTCGATGGAATGCGTGTGATGGGGTCAGGCCTGTTGTTTGCATCGTTTGTAATTCTTGGGCCAGGTGTGCCCTTTGGGTCAGCCGTATCCACTGTGTTCTGGCCTGATTTAATTCGTCACGTGTGAGTTGGTTTGAAGGAGGGCGTTTTCCCCTTAGGCATGCGATGAATCTGATGCATGTTGCAGTTATTCTTAGTAGCTTAGTCAATGTTGGGTACTTGTAGACAATGTCCCAGTCGTATTCCGACGTTTAGATAGTGGCGATTACAAGATGCTTGGACGGGCTTCCTGGTCGCATTGGTCCTCTTTGTCATTGGGTTGTGTTGGCCACGAGTTTGGAGTTAGTGTCCATGGGGGACCAGTCCACCATAAAGGGTGTGTTTTGATTTGTTGGGTGGTGAGTCCTCTGGATGCACAGTCGGCTGGATTTGAAGTTCCGGGCACATACCTCCATTGTGCTTCTGCTGTGAGTTCTTGAATTTGTGTGACTCTGTTGCACACAAATTCCTTCCACCTTCATGAATGAGCCTTGATCCAGGTCAGGGTTACTCGTGAGTCCGTCTATGGATTTGGCCCTTATCTTTAGGTTCAGTTTACGGATTGTTCTGGATTCGGTGGTGCCTTAATAGCAGTGATTGCTTCCTCGTTGGTGAAGTGTTATTTGCAACAGCGACTCCTCCCACCATGCAAGGGTCCCTTGATTGTTTTGCTGTCTCCACTAATTGGCTTGAATTGTGTGTTAATTGCAGACTCACCTTGCTACAGCAGTGGCTAGTAATGTTATTGGTTGCTGGTGCTCGATTGCACTGGTGTGATGTCTGGTGCGTCATGTAAGCATCCTTTCTTAGCTAAGCATGGCGGTGGCAGATGATTGCCCAGGCAGTTCGGGAATCGCCCCTTTTCTTTGATTACGTCCAGTCTCTGTGTGGGGCTGAGCTGCTTGTATTTTCTGCATCTCCAGATAGGGTGCCGTTCCTTGCAGTGGAAGTATTGTGATTTTACGTCGTCTGTCCTGCTAGTTGAACCTGATGGTTCGTGCGTGCTGGATGATTGGCACAATCTTACGAACCTTTTGTTGGGCTTCTTTTATTGACGATTGAATTCCTTGTGTGTTTGTCATTGTCACGTTTTCTAGTGCTTCCAGTCTTGTCATCACAAATTGATCAAATTTTTCAAACATTGGATATGAATTGTCTTCTAATTGTAATAATGCCACGTGGAGTAGTAGTGCGTCCCATGCGCCTGCGACATTATGTTGCATCAGTGATCTTCGTAGATTGCGTAGTTCGCTCATTAAAGTCGATACTTCTCGGGCTCCCTTCACTCTTGTTGTTGAGATAGTGATTGCTTGCGTAATAAGCGCCTTCAGAGCCAGTCGGGTGAGTCGTATTTTTTTAGTAATAACTGTCAGGCTGGTTCCAACGACTCGTTTTGTAGAGACATACCTGATATTAATTCTGCAGGTGTATCTTGCAGAGAGTTCCACAAATAGTGTAATTTTTGGATTTCGCTTAGTTTGGTGCTTTTAAGTATTAAGGATTGAAACAAGTCTCTGTAAGCGGGCCATGCAAGATAGTTTCCGTCGAATTTGGGGATAGGGATGTCTGGGAGATACGTTACTCCACTAGCTTCTGCTGGCAGTATCCCGTCATCCGCACTTGAAGTACTTGGTGTGCTGGTGGTTGTCGACCCCAGTTCTTGAGACAATTTCATGATTAGTGTCATGCCCTTGGTGTGCCAGATGGACTCTGTTTGAGAATGCGAGAACGCTTTTCAAATGCAATAAAACATCTGGTAAGCAACATCGTAAAATTCACATTAGGATTTAAAACTTCTGCTCATAATTATTTGTACTAGTGTCATAAAACATCTGGAAAACTCCAGTGGAACGTGCTTTTGCTTTACAGAGCAGTGAAAATAATAAGTTTATTGCTGGGAAAAACCCCTTGAGTAGATTCCGAACGAATATCACTCGATACATGAAATATTGAGTACAAAACATTTCTTAAATTCATTGCAACTCAAAAATCCCGAACGTGCGACGATTTGTACTAACCGCACGTGCGTTTACACCCATTAAGACAATACTTGCATTGTTTTCTGTCTGAGTCACATCTGGTCAGTCGCGTCCGAAAATGACCACGCCCAACAGGAGCCTTCATCTAGCCAAGTCCCAGAAAAGGGAGAAGCGATCAAGAAGAGGTGACCAATAGCAAAAACTCCCTACTTCCGACACTTCTCTGATTAGCATATTCAGAAATGAGCTCGGAAGGAAGTGGAGATGAAGGCGTGCATAATCTTTTTGCTGCCTAAGAACGACCTCTGATTGGTTAATTAAAAGAAGGAGTCCTTAGTGGAGTGGGACCAGTGAAGCGTTTAAGATAGAAAAATGTAATGTACCGACACGAACACTTACTCTTTACAAATACTTCTTACAGTATAAGGATAAGTCACGACTTACTCCTTCCAAATACTTCTCACAGTTGAAGGACAAGTCACGACCTACTCTCACGGAGGAGGACCGGAGAGACAAGTCGTTAGCTAGCTGAGTTTTAATAAGAAGTTCTTTCTACGATTGTGAATTAGTGTACAGTTGAATTAATCTCATCAAGACTAGATTGCATAGGACCTGACCACTTATAATCTCGCTTGGAGATCAGGAAGAAACTTAAAGTTGCCACATTGCAAGGGAACGTAATAACAAGCCAACGACGAGAGACAAAGAAAATTACGATACAAGTAAGTCTTTGCAGCTAGTATAAATTCTTGATTTCTCGGCTTAAGCAAAAGACGGACGAATTAAGGTCCAACTACGCAAGCTTCCCGGACATACTTTAGAGCAAGACCAGCTACAGACGCCACTGTTGCTATCAATCTCTCCAACAACAAGCTGTTCCCGCCACAGGTGGCGCACAGCTTCGCATAACCTCTATTTAGGCACTCTTACGGCCGACATTTGAGGCAACTGCACACGTGTTAAATAGAACCCGACAACATTGCCGCGTTCAATCAACGCACCACAATAACCATAACCTCAAGTGATAATATTCAATAGATTATAACCTGCTTCATTCATAGAAAATATATTTCAACACTACAAGATTATCAAGAAACATAAAGTTCGTCTGTAATTCACCCTTTTGTAAATTAATTCAAATAAACAGAAATAATAAAGACATGTGTTAATTATTAATCAGTGCATTCATCCTTTACTTGCCCGGCAACCCCACACAACATCTAGTGGGTTTTTTGTTCTAAGTTAATTATTGCACGTTTGGCTGACGAGTTAAATTGTGGGATTATTTTCCGAACAGACTCTTCTGTCATGGCGTTCTTTGTGAAGTACTCGTGTGTTGCGCTTGACACTGGTCAGCTATTTACTATGGATTTGTGATCCATCATGAAGTTGTTGTGTGTCTCGTCGATTTTGTTTTTCACTGCTAATACTTCGGGCAGGCTTATAGTTGCTCTGTCTGCATTAAGGCTGTCAGTCAGTCTTCGCATCGTCTCGATGCGGGCCCATTGTGATTGGGCAGTCATGATTTGTTCACCAGTCAATTTTTCCTTATTCGCGCTGCGCGTGGTGACACTTACTGACTCCTTAATTTCCTTTTTGTCCTGTGTAGACATGTTGATATGATGAAGCGGCAGGATTTACTTACGGTGGTGAAGAATCTCTCTCATAGTCAATGATCTGCGCGCAGTACTATTTTGACCTAAGCAGGCGTCTTTACCTCTCCCACTTTGTTTACCGCGTAAATGCTGCAATCCGTAACACCTATACTAATAACAATTTTTAAAACTTATTAATCAAATGAAAAAATCAAGTTATTTTAAGCTTTTAGTACAAAGTAAAATAAACTTCAGTGACTTAAGTACTGAAAGATTTAAAATTATACTGAAAATTCTAAAAACTTTTATAGATATTCTGGAAATTATTTAATGGTAGTAGAAATCTCGCGTTCTTTATTTCAATATTTGCTATACATAATATTTGCTACACATTTCCTTATTATATTTCTACATAAATTTCAAATCTAATAATACTTTTATGTTATTTATAGAAAATACCATACATTTGTTTAGTAAAACAAATTTAATAATGACTTACGTGGATTACAATTGAAGAAATAGCATACATAATATAAATACATAACATAAATATAAATACGAAATTATATTTTCCATTGTGCTTTAGTTTTGATATATTTAAAAATTCTCTTTTGACATTTTATTTATTATTTAATTTTTCCTAATTTTTACAATAAAAAATTATTTACGTATTCAAATAAAAATGTATATTCTGTACAAAAATAGGTGATGAATTGAATATTCTTTGTTTATTAATTTAAATCTAAAAAATCTCATAAATGCTTTAAGTCTAAATAGAATATATATTTGTTATATAGATAAATTTCCTATATTATTATTAGAATAACATTGAGTTAATTGGAAGTATAATGTTCTGGAAATAATATAAGAAAGTAATGTTTTATTTTTATATATTTTATATAGAGTTGGTTTAAGCATATAAAATAAATTTTGGTCACATTTGAATTTTTCATATAATAATTATAATTCTTAAATGTAAATGAAACTAAATCAAGCAGAATTTAAAGTAAAGTGTATTTCGTATTCGTAGAACCACCACAAAAACCAATCGATTGCAACCTTCATAACGAAAGTAATGCGATGGAAATAAATTGTTTGCCGGGTGCGAGTGGAGGCTTACCTCAGCATTTCTTGCTCGAAATTCGTGGTATCCTCGAAAATTCAGATCTTTCACAGCAAATTCCACAAAGCGATCAAACTGCCGCCGATGATGCATCCGCCGTTTTCCAGGACTGCAACGATCAACCAAGTTTTCAATTGTACGGGCTACTGCCAGGTTATGATTATACCATCTCCGTGACCGCCGAAAACAGTCAGGGTCGGAGTTTGCCCGTCCTTCTTGAGAATATCAGAGTGACCGAGCCTTTGCATAAAAAAGTTGCGGAGAGTAAATCCCTTGGTGACATGTCCGCGGTCATACCATACACTAATGACCTAGAAAATACATTTGTCATTCTTGGACTAATCTGTGAGTACATTGACTTGATATACTTTTTCTTACTAATCCATTTTGATTGTACGTTCCAAATAATTTCATTGTTTAATTATACTATAATTTTTAAATATTTTTTTTCAATTAATTTTGAACATATTCTTATAGTACGTAATGATTTTTATTTACTCGTGGAAAAAAATATTTAACAAGTTTTTAAATATTAAATGAAATATGTATAATCATGAACATTTAATGACATTAATTTCTTTACAAATAAAAATTACTAATTAATTAAAGATATATTTGCATTAAATCCATATCTATGTATTTAATCTATATATATCTATATATATTAATTTTAATTTCAAAGTATATTTTTAATTTTTATAATTAATATAATATAGATAAATAATTAAATGCATATGTGAATTAATAATAAAAATGATAAATTAACACTGTTTGAGAATAAGAGACTCCTTTTTTTAAGGTAATAAAACATCTGGCAAGTAATATCATGAAAATTGTATTTAAGACTTCAAAACTTTCCTGCTCATAATTATTTTGCACTAGTGTCATAAAACATCTGGAAAACTCAAGCGAAACGTGCTCATACTCCCAGTGCAGTAGAACCTAATGGGTTTATTGCCGGGAGAACCCTAAAGTAGATTCAGAACGAATAACAGATACCCGTAAAGCATTGAGTACAAAACATTTACTTAAATCACTGCAACCCAAAATCCGCACGTACAACAACCTGCAATTACCATACGTGCGCACTCGGCCTTTAAGACAATGCTTG